CCTTCCGCCGGCGCCATTTTAATTACAGTTAATTTCAATTAGAATAACTCAGGTTTTTTGCAACAATCTGAGGTCTCATACATGGTTGTAAGTCCTTTCCCACAAAGTTTTTAACTCCACAAAAGAAAAAACAACAACTTTCATACTAATATCTCCCTCATTCCTTCTCTGGTCGCTAATCTTCACCATTTTTGGGTACAGAAATATGGGGTAGGTTTGTAAAGAGTCGTCTCTTCTATTAGAATTGAAACTGAGCGTACTTACAACTCGCAATATTATATAAGTCCAGGAAGGGTTCTTTTCCCTGCTGCGTTGCTGTAGTATTGTACCCCCCCCCCCCGCATTGCGAATTGCGGGAGGGGTCGAAACAAGCCCTCTGCGCCGGTTCTCTCTCCGGGAGAACCAGTGGAGCCCATCCCTCACCGGGGGAGGGCTCCAAAAGGGGCAAAGGGGGATCAGATGGCACGGGAGTTCCCGCAAGCCGTCCGTTGTGTGCCATACCAGAAGTGATTCTTCCCCATGCAACAACTTTGAAGATTAAGAAAGTGGAGAGTGGACACTTACCCCTTCCTCCCACTCAATTTCCTGCAAAAATAAAATTATATATATATACACACACACACACACACACACACAGCATCTGGCTTTAGCTGGGGAGGGACAGAAAGGTGACCCCCCCAGATAATTACAGGGGGTGGGGTGAGAAACAACAGAGACAAACTACTTTGAAGAAAAACACCCCCCCTGGAAACTCTAGTCACAGATGTCCAGTGTGACACCCATCTGATCCTCATTGCTCTGACACTGCGTGTTTGAGCTGCTGCTACTTCAGCATAACCTACTTTGTGATTAATGTTTGGATGAAACAACAGAACGATCCATTTAGTGCTTGGCTTTTGCAACATACTTCTGGTATTAAAGCTGAAGTTATCGGGCACAAAATACTATATGTGATCAAAGGTGCCAAAAATCTTTTCAATTGATGCCTGATAATGTGATTCATTCATGCATATTTTGGGCTTTTATTGTGCATGTTCTGAATAGATCTAAATCTAGAAACAAGCCAGTCTTTATACACACAGCTCCAGCTCTTAGTGCTATAAAGAATGCTAAGTAATTCCTAAAACAATTTCCAGACGTTTCCCCTTTTACTGGAGCACAGAAATTGTTAAATACACAAATGCTTGGGGTTAACCCTGAATATTTCTTTTGCTAAAGTAGCATTTATAGCTCCTGTAGATTTTGTGAATCATCACAGGATACAAGCTTGGTTTGCAACAGCAGCTTCAGAGATCAGCAGATGCCTACACCCCGCAACCTTTTTTGAAGTAATAAAGACCAGATGGGAGTATTTTTAAAAAAGTGAAAAAAGAGACAAAGACAGTCCACCATTCTTTGCAGTGACCAGGATCATATTTCAAAAAGTGTTTTCAAAAATCAAAGCTTTTCAGCCATACACCCACTTCCAATTTAACAGCTTCCTTGTGCATTACAGCTAATCTCTAAGTATCAACCGGGAACTGCAACTGAGATTGAAAAGATGTAGCATTCTTTACTGTGGTTTCAGTAGGTTCTTTAGCTAAACTATGAAGCAGAATATGCCACTTGCCTTGAATGTTAGTTTACATTCCATACACATTTTGAAAACAACAGTAAAACCAATCTGGGGATGGGGGATATGCTAGTGATGTCACAGAACCTAGTCTAGCCAATAGACATCCCACCAGTTTCTATTTGAACAAAAGAAACTGAAGATGTTAAGGGGTGTGGGGAGAGATCTGTACCACTCATTACCATTATAGATTTATATAGTTTTCCTTAACCTCAGTGTTAACTATTAACTGCAGAGATCTAAGCCACCTTAGAGAAAAAACAGATCATGGTTGGGTGTGTGTACACGTATGCCATCAAGTAACAGCAGACTTATAGTGACCCCACAGGGCTTTCAAGGCAAGAGACATTCAGAGGTGGTTTGCCATTGCCTCTTCCACAACACAACCTGGAGGTCTCCCATCCAAATACTTGCCAGGGACAACCCTGCTTAGTTTCCAAGATTTGACAAGATTGAGCTAGCCTGGGCTATCCAGATCAGGGCACAGATCACAATAGAGCCACTGCAAATCAGTTTTTTTTCCTGGTCTTGTTAGTAGAGGTTACTGGTTCATGTGTATTGGATTGTGAAATATGACAGCATACAGGTATGCATGCAAAATCTGATTTCATGCAGCCAGACAGTAACTGAAGCAGTTGTAATCATAAATTTATCCGAACCCATATCAGAGAGCCCAGGGCACTAACTTTAACTTCCAGAGAAGTTACGCTAATGTTTCAAGTTTGGTATACAATTATCTTAGCACTACAAGTGAACCATACAAGGCTGCTCCAATCTCCCGTTAAAGGAGGACATGGAGATTGTCATAGTGAACTGTGCCAGACCCCTGACATTCTGTTCTTCTCTTTGGCAACATTCCCTGCTCCCCCCAATACTTTCTCCTCCTCAGTCCTTTCTACAACATTGATCATCTCCTGGTCAAGACAGACATACCCTAAAATCCTTCTTGCAAGGAAGTGTCTTTTTAGCGCCTAATCAGCACTCTAAACATAAGCAGCTAATGAAATTACATTTAGCCTCTTTGGCCACAGTCCAGAAGCCACAGTTTGCAGAAATCCTGCTAGGTCAGTGGGATTTTGGTTGAGTGGCTTTGGCACTGCAACCACTGAACTCATTTCAAAGTGAAACAACAGCATGAAGAGTATAGTAGCCAGGCCATCTATCTTAAATCCAGCTAGAAGCCTGACCAGTAATATGTAGTACTTTTATCTAAACAGATTTAGCCTCATTGAATTTAGGGCAGCATAAATACCTAATACTAACCTAGATTGAAGAAATGACACAAAACCTGAATCAAATATCTGCTTTTATTTAAAAAATATATGTCTCAAATATAGTACTGGAATCCATGTAGCAGCAACCAAAAAAGGCACAAGTATAGAAACAACCCAGGCAGTACAGAGTCTTATAATTACTCTCTGTCAAAAGTTCAGAACACGTATTGTGAGGATTCATATCACTTGAAGAATAGGGAAGAAAGTTGGTGTATTACAACTTCTCTTATAAGGGACAACTGCTTCTGTATCTGTTCTCATCAGAAAATCTTCCATCGCAGTAGAGGTCATCTGCAAACACTTTCCGAATAAGAAAACAGAAACTTCTTGGTTGTGTGCTCCTGCAACTAAATGCAGGCATTTCTAATTTACAATTTTTAGAGTATTTTACTAATTAACATTGTATGCAATATAGAGATCGACCAAACCTATTTTGCCAATGATTTATGGCCCTATCAGATTATGGTAAAGGATCAGTATTTATTTTCCTGGTTCTATGACAGCCAGATCTCTGTGTGTCAAGCCCACAGAGGTTCTGTGTCTGCAGACTCTGTCATCCTGTTCAATGAGGAGAGCACCTCTGTGCATAAACCCTTGTGCGTACATAGCGTTGCCAATTCCACTGAAAAGAGTATCATTGAGGAGGCTCCAGGTCTCCATAGCTTTGATGTATTAGGATACCAGCATGCAAGATAAATACATGGGCATATCAAGGATCAGTCTATATGTCTAGCAATACAACATTAATGTCTTTGTTAGAGAAGACACTTTATGGCTATATGACAAATGATTAGAAATCCGCTTCTTCTGGAAAAGCCATAAACTATATTAGATAAGTTAGGAAACATTTTAGTGTCCAAATGTCTAAATACCCAATGTAATAAAAGCTATTTAACTTCATAATTCAAAAGCTGGATTCCATAATACCCTTTAATGAATCTGACAATGAGAATATGAACTTTTTTGGGGAAAGGTTATTTTTAAACAATGCACTTTATTAAGAATAGTTGAATAAAGAATATTCTACAAGTTCCTGCATTCTTTCCATGCTCAGTAGCATTACACATGAATTCTCAAAAATAGCTTGTTTTCCTTTTTACACATTCACAGAACCAGCGAAAGGAATTGTGCCCTTTAAGAACAAAAGTTAAATCAATGCAAAAGACCACTGTAACAACAACCCCCAATTTACAGTACTTAAAAATAGAGTTGAGTTATGTACATACAGTGAGTGTTTAGTATTTCCATATTCAACATATTTTATTTGTTCTGGAATGACTCAGTGAATGTCAAGCTTTCAGTTCCATCAGCTGATAAATCAGTAAGCTTGAGCCTTTGGAGAGAAAGCCAATCCATCAGAGCAGAAAATAGGTACCCCAACTGTGTGTGAGGAACAAATATCCAACAGTACAGATCTTAATTCAGTACAGACTCTGCAGCTTCCCAGATAAGTGAGGCAGCCTTGTCCAGTTCCAGGTCCGTTTGTTCTACTGTCACGACAACACGAATGCTGCAAAAGGCAAAACACTGGACAGTCAAGCTCTAAGCGTAATAATAAGTTGCTGTTTTCCCCTGGACCAGCTCATCTGAGCAATGTTTTTATTTCATATTAGACTATTAACAGTTGCCCTCGTCAACTCAATACATGTTATGAAGCCTAGGATGGGAAACATCATGGCAAAGAAAAGTTATGCTTTTGCTTGTGAACATCTTACTCATCCTTCTCGTATCAAGTTTTATACAACATATTTTCAGAGTTTTACTTGTTGCTTTTCAAATAATTTTTGTATGATAGATTAGAATCTAAAGGATGATCTGTAAACCCTTCAAGGAAAGTCTGCCTGTTCATCAGTCCAAATCCACTATCTAGGATCTTCAAAACCTAAAGTTACAACAGAAACCTCCCATGCCCTTGCACATTAGAACCACAACACACTCAAAACAGCTTTGATTTAATACTAAGATAGGTGTCTACTAACCTAGGTGGTGGAAGATGTTTTTCTTCTTTTTCCAGATAGCGGGCCTGAGTTAATGCAATTCCTCTGTTCATACACTGGGAAGGCAAATATGAAACCATGAACTGGTTGTGTTTAGAATTAGAATTTCTAAGTAACAGTACAGTACCATGCAAGTACATTTTAAGTCATCATTTTGGCATGACTGTCCCTCCCAGCTATCCTCATCATCCATACTTGTCACACTGTAAGCCATTCCCTATCAACCCTCATCATTGCTCCTGCCACCCAGATATTTAAAGCAGTTCAAGTATATTTTTACCAATTTAATACAACAGAGTGAATAAAGAGCTGGATGAAACTCCACACATTATCTTATCAGTACAGTGCAATGTCAACTGCTAGTATTTTTAACGCCCTGAGCAGACCTTAGAAGGGGGGGGGGGCTTTCCCTGGAACTCTTCAAGTAGGCCATACTTCTTGGCAAGTCTTTGGGTCAATTTGGGAGAACCTTTAGATTTCATGCTCCTATATTTATTTTAACGTGGGAGCTCTCTGAGTCTAGCAAAGTAGAACACCACAGAAAGGAAATACACAAACTAAGAACTCCAGTCACATCTTTCAAAGAGGCAGGGGGAGAAGACAGGAGGGAGTGACATGTCTGGGCAAAGCATGAATCTTTGTATTAAAAAATTACAACAGTCAGAGCAATCCCAAGTTAGATACTTAGGCTTGGATCCTGCCTAAAATTTCCACAGATTGAGAGATTTCTGTTTATGGAGTGAAACTTCCAAGTCCCCTGTCCTAGTATAGACCCAAAAACCCCTGAAATGTTGCTCCTGGGGGATTGGAGGCCCTACAATAATAGCTTTTTGGGGAGGGATATGTCCTCTAAAGAAGTATCCAGCCCCTACATGGTCCTGCTCCCAGCAGCCCTGGAGCAGTCAAAGGCTTTTTCTGTTGCCACCACTCTGGTCTAAGGGGTCCCTTCCTCTAAATAAGTCTCCAGCCCCTACATGGTCCTGCTCCCAGTAGCCCTGGAGCAGTCAAAGGCTTTTTATGTTGCCACCACTCTGGTCTAAGGGGTCCCGCATTTGGGGGGGGGGAGGATTCCAAGTAGCACCCATCTACTTGTGAGTACTGCCAGACATAAAACAAGACAAGATACAACAACTGGCTTATTAAACAAAACCAAGACAATAATTAAACAGGCAGGTTCCCAACAAGCAGAGCAAAACGGACAAAGGAACCAACAACAACAACAAAAATCTCTAATGCTGTTACCTCCCTGGTTCCTAACTTGATCTCAGGATCTGGTGAGGGATCACCTCCTGCTGTTAGCAGTCTCTCCACCATGCAGCTCTTGGAAGAACAACAATGCCCCTCCTTGGGAGTCTTACATTAACTTTCCAGAGGCCCTGTCCTCCTCTGTAGCTATTAACCGACCTTTGTCCTTAAATCCCACCATGCCCTATCCCGGGTCAAGGGCACCTGGGAAATGTAGGCCCAGATGGAAAACTTACAGCAAGGTCCTAGGGCTTTAAAAGAGGGACCTTACATAATCCACAATTTCCTTCAGCAGTTTCATGTCACTGTCTCGAGTCAGTGCTCTCTTCCAGCTGGAGGTGTAATGCTGGAGAAAGCGATGGACTTTCCACTCGTAGACCAGGCATCCTAAAATAAGAGCCAACACACTGTGGAAGCTTAAGGCAGGATCCAAGCTTTAGTACTGACTTTTGTATACTTTCTACATAATTGGTGGCTAAGCCAAAATGGAGAATTTGCTTTTATGGCATTATCTGATCATTTCTAAATGAGTGATATGTAATACGTATGTGACTTGTATTGTTGTTACAGTAAGTCAAAATGTATTTGCTTTGAAATGTCCAGAGTTAAGTGCCAATATTCACATTCAGAAGAATGATGTAGTATAAACCACTGGGACAGCAGGGGAAGAATCATATCTGAAGCTTCCCTTGTTCTCCATTTAATGAAACTTTCCTTGTTCCCCATTTAAAAAATCTCCCTGTTGGAATTTCTAAGAAGGCTTATAGCTTGGCCTTTTTCCTGACATTTTTGCTTTCCATAGGTCAGAAGGAAGGAGCAATTCATTAACACTATTTGCCCACCTGCTGTCTGATGTTGTATTGCCCAGAAAGGGCAATAGCGGAGCATGGTCTACTCTTGATGTGCTCAAATTCAGGACTTTAGTTTATCTTTTACATACTTCTTAAAAGGCAAGGATTGGTATGTTGTAAACATCTGATATTTTTAAAAATGCAATTTAACTCCAGCTCATATTGTAATTTAGTAAGGCAGTGCTAGCTATGAATAGGTTTCTACAGCTGCAGAATGTCCCATTACTTTCTTTTAATCGCTAGACCTGAACACAGTAAAAAAGGGACCTTACATAATCCACGATTTCTTTCAGCAGCCTCATGTCACTGTCTCGAGTTCCAGTGCTCTCTTCCAGCTGGAGGTGTAAGGCTGGAGAAAGCGATTGACCTACCACTCGTAGACCAGGCATCCTAAAATAAGAGCCAAGACATCAAGATCTATGCGCTCAGAAACAGAACTGTACATATGCCAAACACAAACATTGATTTCATGAACATTTTTCTTTATCACTGCATCACAAACATGGAAGATACATGTCTCAAAACTATACCATCCATTAGGGACCACTCGATCCTTAGCATTTATTAATGTAAACCAACCCACAAGGCGTCACAGCAGAGACAGGACCAAGCAGAGCATTAAAAGCAGGATGCCTTGAGTGTACAGAGCCTGGTTACAGACTACAAGAAAGTGTGAATAATTCTTCCAGCTCCTTCCACATTTTGTACCAGATATTTCATTCTTTAAAACTCTGAACACACTTTCTTATCTGCCAGAAAAAGCTTTCCTGGATTACACTATCATTTTCCCAGTTGTGATATAATCTAGTTCCAGACACCAAACGTGATTCTGAGAAGTCTGCTTTATCCTTCTAGTGGCCTCCACTATTTGGGCTTTGCTGTGGGTGCCAAACATTTTAACAAAAACAAGAAGTGCAGGTTGCCCAAGAGGATGAAAACATCTGGCCTACGGAATTAAAAGAAGGAAGTCTTTTCCTCTGTACACAAAAAATCACCAAGACAAAGTTTTATGAACAGTTTCAGTTTGTCCCTAACCATCAAAAGGTAAAAAAGCAAGTAACAACTTATAGAAGACAGTACCTAAGCTGCCCTTGTAAGCCAGATACGTACAAACAGGCTATTCTATGAACAATGGCAGTATCTCTTCTTGGTTTGTATTCTTCTGCCACTAGCTAAGCATAAGAATTCCTTTTATAAGAGCCAGACAAGTAGATTATGACCAAAAAGGGGAAAGATGTAAGAACATACATCTGACTATTACTTAAGTCATACACAAAGAATGTTGCTTTATGTTAGAACTGTGGTATCACCTCAAATTCATTAAATTTGCAAAAGATGTCAGCACAATTATCTCTAGAGAAATCTTCGTTTCTAATAGTTGCACTTTACATTCGATTGTAAAATGTTTATTGCTAAAATGCTGCAACATTCCTGTGGAAGCTACTTCATGATAAGATATTACTGCTGCTAAAAGCACACTCATGCTCAAGAGCAAAACACAAGCAACATCTAGATGACACAGGAGAACAAGAGAAAGTCTGACGAACAGTTCAACAGATTTCTACCTGGGCATGTGATGATCTGGCATACTGAAGAAAAGTGTGTTTGAGATCACCCTAAAACTCAGCACTTACCTTGCCCTTAAATATTCATACCAAATTGAGAGAGGTACCTGACCTTTTGAGGACAACCTACCAAATCATATTAACATGTGAATTGTAGCTTAAAGATACACACACTACAGTGTGAGACAATCTGGTAAGGTAGAATCTCAAAATGTGTGTCTATGCCAGATAACAGCCACTAAATAAGTTTCAAAATGGCCACTTCATACAGTGGACATTTAATTCTAAATATAATAGACAGAATAGTGTGCCAGAGCTTGTCATTAACAGGGAAAACAGTATTTTACTAAAAGCTGTTCCCTGCAAGGAGGCAAGGTGAGAGAATTACTATAACAGGCCTTAAAACACTTTTTTTTAGAAAGCAAGCTATTAATGGTCCACATCACATTCTGAGACACTTTTAAGTCAAAACAGGTCATTAGCATGCTCCAGAAGTGAAGACAATTAAGTGGCGCAAAAGGTGGATAAAAATTAGAAGTTCTTTAAAGTGAGAAGCCACCTTTGAACTCGAGCCAATTCAAAACTTGTGGGTATGGCTCAAACAATAGTGCTTTGTAGTAAACTGAATTTCTGAAGACTGCAATACAAATCTTAAGCTGATATCCAAACTCCTTCTGTCAGTTACTTAAAATAAACCATCATCCGACTCAAGTGCACATCCAGTTCATGCTTGTGCTAGAGAAGACAAGCAGTCTTGTCTACATACCAAATAATATCCTCCAAGTAATTAGAGATGTGTGCAGTTGCACAATACCCATGCTAAAGAAAGCCTAGTAAAAATGTGGGAGAAGCCAAGGATGGACAGATCAATAAGATGTGCCTGATGGAACCGCTGCCAATACTTTAAGCAGATGTCCCACAATCCAAGAGCAAATGTGTCACAAAGCCAAATCAAGACATAAATTGGACACAATATATCAGAATCAATCTGGTGCACAAAATCTACTGACATGCATGGCCGGCTCGCCCAATACTTTAAGCAGATGTCCCACAATCCAAGAGCAAATGTGTCACAAAGCCAAATCAAGACATAAATTGGACACAATATATCAGAATCAATCTGGTGCACAAAATCTACTGACATGCATGGCCGGCTCGCCCGCTAGGTGAACTAGGCCTTCACCTAGAGCGCAAGCCGGCAGTTAGGGCGTGGGAGAAGAGGCGGGGCGGCCGCCGGCAGCCTCTCCTCGCCCGCAGCCCGGCCAGGGCAAGAAGGGCGGGGAAGGGGGCAAAGGGGAGCGCTGCGCTGCCAGGGCCTGGGGGCCCGTGTGATGAGGCAGGCAGGCAGGCAGGCAGGCAGCCAATCCCTGGGGCCGCTGCCGGGTCGCCGGCCCAATCAGCGCCCCCGACGGAAATCCTGCGTGTTAAATGCTGGAATCCCCGGGGGCTGCCGCCTGACGAGGCACTCCTGGTCGGCTCCAGGAAGGCACTCGTCCTCCTCTGCAGGTAGGTGGGGTGGGATGCGAGTGGCAGTGGCGGCCGAGGGGGAGGCGAGCAGCGGCAGCGGCCGGGAGGGGGAAGGGTAGAACGGGGCTCTGCAGGAGCCTGCAGGAGTTTCCCTCCCAGCTCACTTTCCCTCTCCGTCCCCCCTGGCCCATCGCCGCCGCTCGTGGTGTTGGGGGGGGGAGGCGGGCTCGGACGGCGGCCTGGAGGAGGGGAGGCGGGCTGGGAAGGGTAGAA